ACTTCCCATCAGCTTAAAAAGCTAGTGAGTATCATTGTAATCTCTTTCTGCCAGCTGCCCTGACATGGATATGAAGCCGCATGTGGTGGCCTGAGTCTCTAAGTGGCTAAGATGAGCAGACACCCTGCCAACCCACACTAGGACGTGGAGTAAAGGAGAGAAATAATTAACTGAGGTTTAGTGGGTGCTTGTTGCTGCAGCAGAACCTAGCCTACCCTGACAGATGAATAGTTGACCTCTGAGCAACCATAAACTCTGTCCTCTCTTTTTCCATCAGAGTTTTAGTGGTGACCCTCTGAGGCACTCACAGGGGCCTGCCCTTAAGTGAACATCGAAACAATGAAAAACGCACCCTTGCTTTCTAGTGGCCACTTCTCTCAGTTTCGTCCTGCTTCGCGTTATTTTCCAGGGCCTTCGGATCATTGCTTTGTCATAGTCTGTACAGAGTTTCTAATTGTCACCTGTGGAATGGTTGTTCTGAATTAGTTACTCCACCACTGGGAAGCAGACCCTGCTCCAGTCTAACCTGTTCTCACTCCTTCCCTTCCCAACGACCTGTGCTCCAGCCATAGTTGACCATTTGAAGTTTCCAGAACAGGCCATGTTCTCTCTTATCTGTGGGCCTTTGTACACACTTCTTTTTCCTCCTCCCCCACCCTAACCCAAGTATCTTCTATTCATTCTTTAGGACTCAGCATAAATATACCTCTTCATTCAGCAGGACTAACTCAAGTAAAAGAAACTTCCTTGTTCTAACCAGTCAAAAGGGAGAAGAGGATTTAATGTAAGAGTACAGAGGAGTCGTCGGGGAATCCAATGACCGAGATCCAGCCAGGCCTTCGAGACCAACTAAAACCAGGCACTCCATTTCATTGGGACTTTATCTCCATCCCTTGTGTCTGTTCTCTGCCCTTCTGAGGGGCTTCTAAGAACCCACATTTCTCTCAAGTAGCTTGTTACTATTTCTCTTTCTTCCCCCTCTAGACCGTAGGTTCCTTGAGGGCAGAACTGTGCCTTTATTTCTCCATCCTCAGAACTTAGCAGAATACAACCAACAGAGCTTACAGGAGGGGTAAAAGGCAGACAAGTAACTTGACCCTTAACCTCTGCCCTTCTGAGGGGCTTCTAAGAACCCACATTTCTCTCAAGTAGCTTGTTACTATTTCTCTTTCTTCCCCCTCTAGACCGTAGGTTCCTTGAGGGCAGAACTGTGCCTTTATTTCTCCATCCTCAGAACTTAGCAGAATACAACCAACAGAGCTTACAGGAGGGGTAAAAGGCAGCCAAGTAACTTGACCCTTATACAACCCAGCAGGTATTGAAACAGGCGTTTTCAAGGTGTTTTAGGAGCCAGAGGAGGAAGCAGCCCCTCTCTATTGGGCATCAGGAAGGCTCAGAAATGACACCTGGATGCTGCTGCTTGTCCTCTGATGGCAGGGGGGTGGGGGGGGTCGTCCCCAAAGGAAAATACCACAAAAAGCAGAGAATCTCTTTAACAGCCTCCCAGCCCTCTAGGTCTCCACCAAAATGAAGAGGGAACACCCAGTGTCATTCTACACATCCCTTGAAGGGATAAATCGTAAAGCAGAGACCTTGGTGGTCGACTTTGGCCTCACTTCAGCCATTCCAGTTTTCTTTCAGTTCTCTTTCCCCTCTTCCGGTCTTGGAACGTTGTCTTGCCTCAGCCTAGAGCAGCGGTTCTCAACCTGTGGGTCGAGACCCCTTTGGGGGTCGAACGACCCTTTCACAGAGGTCGCCTAAGACCATCGGAAAACACAGATATAATTACATATTGTTTTTGTGATTAATCACTATGCTTTAATTATGTTCAGTTTGTAACAATGAAAATACATCTTGCATATCAGATATTTACGATTCATAACAGTAGCAAAATTACAGTTATGAAGTAGCAACAAAAATAATTTTATGGTTGGGGGTCACCACAACATGAGGAACTGTATTAAAGGGTCGCGGCGTGAGGAAGGTTGAGAACCACTGGCCTAGAGGGTTTTCCTCACCCTCGTCCTTTTGACTCACCTCTCAAGAGCCTTAAGGTTTCAACTTCAACATCACTTTTGGGAGCAGGAGGAGGCTCCCCACTCCCCCTCAGTTAGGGGAAACCAACCGTATTGCCACGTGCTCCCAGTGGCCTGTCCTTCCTCTTTCTCGGCCTCCCCTGTGGAAAGGTGGCCTCCAGCAGCCTGTGATTGGTGACAGCAGGGACCACGTCATCTGGCTCCTGCCTATGCCCGGGGTTTGGCACAGAGCCCGGCACCTCAGAGGTGGCTCAGAAATACTTGTTGCTTCCATTGAATTTCAATAGTTAGTACCATTTCCTCATTTGAATGGGAAAAACTGGGGCACAGAGGTGGGGAAGTGAGACCTGACACGTGGGTTGATAGCTCTCTGCCCTGGGCTCCTGGTGGAGTTGTCTCCCTGGCTGCCGCCTTTCCTTCCAGAGCTGTGATGAGCAAAGCAGGCATCGTTTTTTGTGTTGTTTTTTGTTTGTTTGTTTGTTTGTGTTTTTTTTTAATATATTTTTTATTGATTTCAGAGAGGAAGGAAGAGGGAGAGATAGAAACATCAATGATGAGAGAGAATCATCAATCGTCTGCCTCCCGCACGCCCCCCACTGGGGATCGAGCCTGAAACCTGGGCATGTGCCCCTGACCAGAACTGAACCCAGGACCCCTCAGTCCGCAGGCCAATGCTCTAGCCACCAAGCCAAACCGGCCAGGGCTTGGGTTTTTGTGTGATTTTTTTTGTATTATCTAGGCTTTTATGTCTTCTAAAATGTGCACAAAGATGGAACATTGTTGATTCATGAAAACACTATTTTTAGCAGTGAAAAGTGGATGTGTTTTTTTGTGGGGTTTTTTTAATGTTTTAAAACATCCACTTCATTGTGTGTCATTCCATATACCAAAAGGTTACCAGGTTGGTTAGATTCCCAGTCAGGGTACATGCCCGGGTTTCCTGCTGAATCCCCAGTAGGGGACGTGTAGGAATCAGCCAATTGATGTTTCTCTCTCTCCCTTCCTCTCTCTCTAAAATCAATAAAAACATATTTTTTAAAAAGTTTCCCCTAAGCTTTTAATTTGAACATGTTTTTATTGATTTTTTAAAATATATTTTATTGGTTTTTTACAGAGAGGAAGGGAGAGGGATAGAGAGTCAGAAACATCGATGAGAGAGAAACATCGATCAGCTGTCTCCTGCACACCTCCCACTGGGGATGTGCCTGCAACCAAGGTACATGCCCTTGACCAGAATCGAACCTGGGACCTTTCAGTCCTCAGGCCAACACTCTATCCACTGAGCCAAACCGGTTTGGGCAGTTTTATTGATCTTAAAGAGAGAGGAAGGGAGGGGCATAGACAGATAAAAACATTGATGTGCCGAAACCGGTTTGGCTCAGTGGATAGAG